AGTGGAAATTAAAATTAGTGTAAGACGCACTTTAAGGAAGTTGCTAAACTCACTAAAAAGTCACCGCTTTTAAGCCAGTAAGTACATGGGCAAAACCAGATTTCTGACATCAGTTTAGATGTACTATTCTCTTTCTTCTGAATATAGAAAGGAAAAGTCATCTACCCGCTTTATTTATCATTACATAGTATCGTGGAAAGAAAAAAAAAAAAAAGTCTATCACTTAACTGTTGCATTTAGTGGTAATATATTGGGGGGGGTCAGGAGGAGGAGTACAGTAACATGCCAGCTTCAATAACTAAATTAAAATTGGTTTAAAATTGTAATGCTGAATTATTTTTCTTCTTCTTTTTTTCAGATGAAAGAAGCTGATGAAAGCACAGGTTCTGGAGACAGCACAGTGAAATCAGTGCGCAAAAGAAGAGTACGAAAGGACTGAGTTACTTTGAGTATTTGTAGGTCTAGATAATAGTAACTTTTGGTATGCCACTTCAGTGGGCCTGACAGCATGCAAGTTCCTGAGATTTGAAGGAAAAACAGGAACTCGTTGCTCCTTAACCTCCTATTTTAATTCTCTAACCTCTTTTAACCTTCCCGAGCTTCCTTGATTCCCTTTTTTTAAGGAGAAACGCTATCTGTGAAGAGTTAGCTGATGTTTTGAATTTGGAACAAAAGTGAAATTACAAGTTGGCCAACTGATTTTTAAGGTGAGGATACTTAAGATTTGAAGATTCTTAGAAATTAGTATTAGTTGGAGATAAACTTACTCTACATATTTTTTAAAAACATGAATAAATTATAATAATTTTGCAGCTCTAGCTGCAAAAGTTTACACTTTTCAGCTAAAAGAGGATGATAAGTATAGATGTAGCATCTATAGCAGTTCACATTGCTATGAGAAAAGGTATTTTTTTTCTGTGCAGAGCTAAATGCAATAATTGTTTTTTGTAAGCTGATTTTAGTGCTGGCAACAATTTTTATTGTAAATTATTTATTTTCGTTGATCTTGTTACATGGGTGGTCACCTATTCACTTTAGACATTGGTTACAGTAATTTATTTTTAAGAGATATTTTAAAATAGAATACTCATAGAACAAGTGGTAATTGGTGTGACTTGTCTTACTTTTTGAATGCAGATATCAAATCTGCAGAAACGATATACAGATGAGTTTTTCAAACTTTTATAGTTCTCATGTTCCAAGCCAGAGTGGTATAACCTCTGTTTATAGAATACTTGCTAAGTGTACATTGCCTCCTAAAAATATTTAATAATTCTTGCTTAACATGAAATTTCTTAATATAGATAAGAATTTTTTGATGGATTAAGTTTTTTACAGATGTGAGTAAATGGGCATTCTCATAATATAGTTAAATAAATTGCATATTGTAAAAGAAACTTTGTTTTGTTAAAAGTTCAGCTGTATATTAAAACAAACAATAAAACTGCAGTCACCAGAAACCTCTTGCTGCTTGGCAGCTGCCTATAATACTAGGAGGATGTAAAAGCCTAGCAAAAGCAGGCATACATTAAAACCAAGTAGAAATACATTAATTCATAAGGTACCTAAAACAAGTAGAAAGCCATTAATAAAGTGCCCAACAGATTTCCTTACGCCTGGCAAGAAGTTAGTTCACTTCAAAAAGAAATATTTCCACAGCAAATCGAGTCACCGAAGATTCCACGGAAGTCTCTAACAAATGAATGCTTAATTAACCCTAATGAAGAAGGCGGTGTCTTCAAGTACTTGTGCTGAAGTGTTCAGAAGTTAATTATATTGGACTATTTTGTGTGAAGTACACAGAAAGGTCTCTTTTTTGGTTGGTTGTGTGGGTTTTGGTTCGGTTTGTTGTTGTTTTGTTTGGTTGGGTTTTTTTAAGTTAAATGCAAGTTCCCTCTTCTTTAGGGTGTACACGCAAAAGGTGAGAAGTGAAGACTCCAGATTCCTCCTCCTGTCTGTGACTTTTGAGCAATAGATAGAAGTTGTTACCAATGCAGTATTCCTGCTAGTAACTGCTACTGTGAGCTGTCAGGGAGCATTTTGGCGCTCCTTTTGAATGAATCTTGTCTGAGCCTGGTAATAGTCCTTTGGAGTTGTTACAGCATTTGGGTGTGTGTTTGGGGTTGTTTATTGTTTGTTTGGGTGGTTTGTTGTTTGTTTGTTGTGATATAGTTATTCCAGGAATTGGGCACCTCCCAGGGGACGCTAGTCTTCCCTTAGGGTTTTGAACTTCAGGTTCCCATTAAGCCTTAATGCCCCATCAACATCTTTGCTTGTACCTCAGTAAATAAGGAGCCATTTATTATGGGTAAAATGGTAATGTGAAGCCATGACTCAAGGGTGCTGCTGTTTGCAGTAATACTGACTCTGCAAGGCCCATCGCACTTTAATACTGACGTAACGACTCCAATTACCTGGAACCTGGAGATAGAAGACATCCTTCTGCACATCAGCTTACCTGGATCTAGTCTTATGCTAGTAATTAGGGGAGAAATGTCAGAGCTTTTGAGGATTTGAGACTCTGGATCTAGAAAGCCAGGTGAAAGGGGAATCCCCTTCCATTGACAATTGTAACCTGCAGTTCCTGTGCGTAGTCCATTCATATCTGAACAGGTATGTCAGGAAAAATACTTGATCTTGCTATCATGGCTGCTTGAAAGTGCTTTGAAATTAACAAACTAATGGTAGTCCAGTTCCACGATGCCTTGCTATTAAGACTGTCAGTCATCATGAGCATCAGACCTCTGCAGCCTGCACTCCCACCAGCTACATCGTAGCTTAGTAAAAGTGGTCTTACTGAGGATGCCAAATCCCGGACTGAGAATTTTCATTATTTGGGGAATATTCTCCCTTGTAAAGAGGTGCGAGTTTCAGCTTTGACAATACTCGATGCAGTTTACCACTCCTCTTCCTTTTTCCTTTAGCCAGAAGAGAAAAGTATACGGAATTGTAAGGTTCATGGGTGAAAATACCAAGTGAGTCAGGAACTGGAAGCTTGCTGAAAATAAATTAATTAACCCAGGTTTAATCTTAATACTCGCTAATTACATCCAGCCTTTCAGACACTTCAGCGATGTAGAAACAATTAACATGATGGCAAACCCTACTACTTTTCCACCTTTTGACTACAGATAGTTATGAGAAGTTTTAGGGCTTACAAATGTTAAACCAATCTAATTGAGACAAATCAAAAGTTTTTATTTAGTGTAAAGTCAGAAATACATCATCTTGAAAATGTTCATAAGTTAAATGAAGGCCACAGTAGTGGGATGTAAAATGGTATATCGATGAAATGACTACTATATACACACCAATGGATAAAATATCACTATCCAATCTTACAATACAAACCCATGATTTTAAGATTACTTGATCTCGGGGAATTGCTGAAGTCTAACAAGCGCATGCTCTGTTACCACTTCATCTCCTACAGTGCAGATGGAGATGTGCAGTGACGTGGCTTTAAAGCTGGGATGTCTATAATGCAATGCAATCTTTAGAAGTCAAGTGCTTAGTGTGATTGTTCTTTTGATTATTTTTTTTTTTTTAATGCTCAAACCCGGGACTAACCACGTGATCTACTCTACCTGCTAGCAAGTCTTGGATGAGTTTAGAGTTCCAGATAGGCAGTAAAGTGAGAGAGTAGTTCATAGAAGATTAAAAATAATTTGGACATTTACAGCACCCTGTGACACAAATGGTATCAGCCATTTGTGCCTTGTTGGGCAAAACTTTTTACATTATCAGGTTTCTTGACTTAGACTTGTAAATAGACCTCGAGACCAAACTATCAGTGCTTTGTTTGCAATCATTTGACTTCGCTGATGCTCCAGTGAGCAATGTACAGCCATCTTAAATGGGGAGAAATGGGAGACCTTGCCTTTAGGAGGGGGGAATCTCACAATGCCAGCTTACACTTGAGACACAGCAGCGCTTAGCTGCCAAGGAACTTGGGGTTTGAGAGGGATTTATTCCACTATTACATCCACTCATGCAGTTCCGGCAGCTTTATTTTATAGAATTCATCACAGCAAGGTTGAAAGAGATTCTTGAACTAGCGGTTTCCTTTTGTTAAAAGGTAAAATACAATTACTTCATTTCTGAAGAGACAGCACTCAGTTCTAGGTAACATCCATAAATAAGTCTACAATGCTGCTGTATGGCAAGATGAACCATGCAACTGAGTACTGCTAAAACTTAGTTTGCATTTCAGCTTCTGCTCTCCCTTAACACTGATGATGCTAGACACGCCGCCTCTATAGGGACTGCTTGGACCCAGAATCTGGGCTGAGCTCCTTTACAAAACCTGCTAACAGCCAAGCCAGTAAAAAACAGGGCACCTTGACACTAGGCATTGCCCAGAGCAGCACAGACTTGAGAGGCAAAAGCCACCTTTGTTCCACTGCAGTCTTCTGCCTTAGATGTTTCTGTGCAGTGCCTCAAGAGGTACTTCACAAGCTCAGGCTCTGGGGCAGGGAAACAGTTGCTCTAAGGCCTGAAGCAAAGACAAGTTTGGCACTTCAGGAGGAAAATAATAGGTGGCGAGGAAAGACTTGTTCTCAGTTCCTCACAAGCATGAGGAACATTCTTGACCACCTGTTTCTGTAAAGCTTATTACTCAGATTTTTATAAATTAAACTCCTCATCACACAACTGAAAAACTTCAAGAAGATCACACATCATGATGCTGTGCCTGATCATGCTCTGAGGAAACTGGAAAGTGACAATGGTCTGGAGTGTACATCTTACAAACTACAAACACTCTGATACTGCATCAGTTTGGTATTTCCCTGATGTAAGTTGCTTATCCTTGTTCCTCTTCCCTTACCCTCCCCCTTCCCAGTAAATCTTAAGTGTTTTTCTGTACGCAAGCCCTGCAAATAATGTCATTCTGTTAGTACTTCATAGAAATTCTTAACTGGTTTATAGGTTTTTGTTTAAAGTTGCTTTGCAGAGCTATGGACAGAGCTATACAGTAATCTAAATATATCTGAGGTGAAAAAGGTGATGCAATTAGACTTTGACTATTTTTATCAAATGAGGTTTCAACACAATATTATAACTGTAGTATTTTGCTAGTCAAGAATGCTACCCTAAGACCTCAAAGAGCACCAACAGACCTTTGTTTAACCTGACAAACTCAATCCAATTTTTAACAAGATATGCTCATTTTTAAACCAAGTATGAAAGTTTAGTAAGCCTCTACACTACATTTGCACATTGCTTAATCTTAACAATACACAAACTTACATCTCCCGTTCATGACAATGTTCTTAATTCTGTTTATCACCAAAGTTTAGGTTCTTCAGGTATCCAGTACAGCCACAAACTAAGGTATTTTAGCTCATGTAGCCTATGCCAATTAAAACAAAAAAAAGACAGCAGCAATACAATGACATCACCTGTGAGTCAACCCTTACTTCCTTTTGCTTTTTGTGTCAGTTGTTTGGAAAACACTAGAGGCTGACATCAGATTTTCTATATACTGTCCAAGAACTTGGTTTTCTGATTTCAGTTTCAAGTTTTCTTCCTTAACAGCATCTACTCGTGCTGAGAGATCTGCGAAGGTGATAGTATAAAATAAATATTAGACACTATTGCCTAAAACAATGATTATGTTCTATGTGCCTACAACAAACTAGTCACACTTCTAATGTGGGGAAACATTGCCATAAGGTATTATTTTACAAAACAGTGTGCTACTCCCAAGTTTTATCAAAAGCCTATTTTTACTGTATTATTTTGTAGTACAGTATTTTGACACACTTGTTACACAACCTTACTGTTAGTCTGTATCTTTATTCTTTTACTGTTTGTTTTGTTGTGTGGTTGTTTGTTTTTTTTACTTTGGCTATTGCGAACTAAACTATTTGGAAACAAAAGTTCAGTGATGAGCAGACTCAAAGATGTATGTCAACTAATGAGCCTGGGGAAGTTAACCATATCACCCCTTCTGTTTGACATGTATTATGAGAGTCGAGCAAACGTTCTGTTGCATGAAGAGGAAAAAAAATAGTAGTCTTAAGGCCTTGCTTATGTACCTTCAACTGCATATGTGACATACTTTTGGACACTTTGACTAAGGCAGGGCAGAACAGTAAGGTTCTCCTCTTTTGCATATGACTCTGCTTGTAAAAAAACCAAAAAACAAAAACAATCTGATGTGTCAAGCTGCTAACCTTCAAGTGTGTGCTGCAGCTCCAAAACTTGATTAATAAGCCGTGTTTTCTCTTCCAATTCCACCTGATTCTCAGCCTCAACAGCTGCAAAAAATCATACTAGTTTTAATGCAACCTCTGTAACAGCTACAAATTATATTCAGTAGAAAAAATAACAATAAAAAAACCAAGAACATTAAGAACTTATACCGTCCATGTCGGCATTCATCATTGTAGAACGGGCTCTTTCCACTTTTGAAGAGGGTATTCCTGAGAGACGCTCTGCTTAAGGAGGAGAGGAAAAAAAACAAAAAAACAACACTGAAGCAACTGTTAACGCGACTGCCTTTATATTTGGATTTTTAAATTCGTTTTTCTAACTGGTGTTGAAAAGCTTGACCCAGAACAACATTTTTTTTTTAACGTGCATCAATTACTGTTGGCATGTAAATACGATTCTTCCAGTAGCTATGCTTCAGTTTCCAGAGACAACTGATGTAGACTACTCCCTATACGCATAAAATAATGCATTAATAAAATAATGACTGCCGCCTTCTCGGCACCGATCTTTCTGGAATTGGCTATTAAAGGCCCCCCCCCCCTTGCCCGCTCCCTCCCCTTCGCTGCTGTCAGGGCCACCGGGCCTGCAGGACGCAGGCCCGGGCCCGTTTGTTTCGGCTCCTCCGCACGTCCGTCCGTTCCCCCCGCCCCACCTCCCCCGCACAGAAACGGTTAAC